TCCTTTCTGTTCCCGTCTCTTGTTGAGGTTGGCAGAGCTTTGAATGGCCGTTGCTCCCCGCGCCGGGCCCCCAGCCCCACGCCGGCCCTGCTCCCCCCTGCACCGGCAGCATTGCCCTGAGAGGAGGAGGAGGGCTCCTACCAACGCAGGGCTGCTCCAGGGCTGCTCAGTAGCCCACTGAGGACCTTCAGCCTTGTTTCACTTTCTCTTCCCACACTGGCCCCTGGCAAAAATGAAAAGGGAAGGCCTGCCCTGAGCCAGTCCCGTACTTTTCCTCCTGCCTGGGCAGTGTGCTGTCTGGGGTTTCCAACACAGCTGCACAACATGAGAACTCTAGGTGGTTTCTGATTTTTTTTTAAAGACTTTTATTGGAAAAGAAAACAAATCCCATTTTCCAAAAACAGAGCGAGCTCCCACCCAGCACCGGTGTTAGAGCATCAAAGGCAGAGAGGCTGCAGCCCCGGCACAGACACACAGGTTGAAAGTGATGGAGGAGAGGAGGGAAGAGGACACACTGGTCACACAGGAAGAGGTTTTTCTTTTCCCTGGCTGCTGCAGGAAGCTCTTGCATCTGCCGCAGGGAGACACGAAGAAGTCTTCTGAAAGGAGAGCCCCATCCTCATGTCAATGAGGAAGCATGTGAGGGGCTGTGGGAAGCAGAGGGCAAGGGGGCAGTGGGATGCATGGAGCACCTCCAACTGCAAGGGGAACCTGCCTCGGGCAAAGCCAAGGAAATGTGGTGGTGGGGGGGGAGGGAGGGCCGTGTCCCCACTGCACATAGGCCTGATGGTGAATACCCAAGCGGGAGGTTGGAGGTTGTTTTTTCTCTCTCTTTGCTCCCCTGTCCCTTCCTCCCCAGATAGGATTGCTTGAGCATTCAACACTGAGCCTTTCCCTCAAGCACCGCTATCAAGCAGAGGAGGCAGGAGGCTCCCAGGCTTGCCAAGGGCAACTCATTTGTGGCCAAGGGTTGAAAAAAAAAAAAAACATATGGGAATCCCAGCTCTCCACATGCATCCCAGCAAACCTTGAAACAAGCCCAGAGAAGAGGAGGGGGGGATGCACGGACAGTGCCGGTGGGGCAGCAGGAGGGGAGACAGCACCTTCTGCAGGGAGGGTCTGGGTCTGCTCTCTACAAAACTAGTGAATAGAACAAGGCATCTTGGTTAAAGAGGAGGAGGAAGAGGAGGAGGAAGACTGGCAGTTGGCAAGGCGTTGCCGAGCGGGGGGTCCTGGCTGCAGCGCAAGTGGCATGCGTCCAACCATTCAGGCACCGTGTTGAGGAGATGGAGGCGAGGACGCTGTCTTCCCACTCTAATCCTTCCCCTTGCCCTTCTTCGCTGCTGCCGGTGACAGAAGGAGACAAGCGTTAGCATGTCTGCTGGCAGCACCACCCGCTCCCCTACGCTCGGCCTTGGCAGAAACATGGTAGCCGGCACGGCACCATGGCACCAGCCAGCAGGGACCCCACACAAGTGTCACCAGCATACTGGGCATACTGGGCCTGCTAGGGAGAATGGGTGGGACCCCTGTGCTGGCAGGTCACATCCTGGCAGCCTCTCCCCGCCACGCAAATCCACATATTGGTCAGCCACAATGGAAAAGGAGGAAATCCCCGTCCCACCGAAGCTGAAGGTGAGTTGACAGGGGGTGTCAGGGCTTTTCCTAGAGACACCTGTGTCCCACAGCTGAGGTTTCTGGGCCTGCCGCATGCAATGACGTGGAGAGACCCTATGCAGCCCTCTGCACCGCCAGCAAAACCCAACCCCGGTGGGCTAACCATCCCATGGGGACCCAGGGCCTGGGGCCCCAGCCCAGGGCCGCTGCACCCTCTGGGGCCAGGAGTGGTGGGGACTGACCTTTGGACTTTGACTTGATCTTGGAAGAGCAGGGCTTGGTCACATAGACAATCTCCTCACACTGGGCATTGTACAGGGCTTTCTTCAGGATGCCTGAGCGAGTTTTCACACCCGTCTGAACGCTACACCCACCCCAGCTCTCAAATTTGTACTTGCAGTCAGCTGGAAGAGAAGTTAGACATGTGAGACCCAAATAGGACCCGGGCAGGACACCAGCCTCTCAGAGGGAGGCTGGAGGTCTGGCCCCAGGCTGAGGGGTCCCCAGCTAGTCCCGCCGCGACGGGCGCACACACACCTCCAAACTTCTTCTTCCAGTTGCAGGGAATCTTGCACTTGAGTTTCTTAGTCTCGTCTTTGCAGGTGCCTTCGCGATAGCCCAGGCCGCAGTCTTTGCTGTTGGGGACGCAGGGCCCCCAGCGCCAATCCTCGCACTCGGAGCTGCTCTTCTTCACCTTGTCTGCAAGGGCAGGGGAAGCTGGTGCTGGCTGCTGGCCGCTGGAGTGCATCTGGGGGCTCCCTCCCGCCCCGCCGGGCCCACTGCCCCCACCCCTGGGCGTCCCACTTACCTTTCTTGTTTTTACCAGCCTCAGCGGTTGCAGCCAGGAGGATCAATGCCAAGAGGAGGAAGAGGAGGGCCCGGACCTGCATCATGCCTAGGGAGGGAGCGGGGGGTGAGGATGTGATACAGCCAGCCGGGACACAGTGGGCTGTGGGTAGCCAGAGCCAGGCTGCAGAGTAGGGCCTGGGGGTGTCCGGCTGCTTCTTTGTAGGGGGGGGAAGCGTGCTGGAGACAGTATAGGGTGGCCACCACCACACGTGTGCGTGTGTGAATGCACGCCTCCGTGCCCAGCTCGCATGCCTCCCAGCCTCAGGACACCATGGCATAGATGGATAGCGGGATCCCAGGCCCAAGCAGTCCCTTCTGGGAGCTTCTAGGGGCTGGGGGCAGCGTATGACCCTATCTAAATGCTATGGAAGGAATGCAGGGTCACAGCTCCAGCAGACCAGTGGGGCTAACGGGGATGCAACTAACCCTGCCCTAACCCCCCAGCCCACCGCATCCCCACCTGGCGTTACCCCGGCACCGGCAGTGGTGAGAGGGAAGAGGGGGAACCCTGCCCGCTTGGCAGTGGGAAGGGGCGAAGCAGGTCTCCTCCGCGTTGCTGCCTGGCAAACTGCATCCAGAGGAAGAGTTTTAATGGCCCCAGGAAGGTTCATTGCACAGCGCGGGGCGCTGCTGAGCTGGAGGCTCCTTCCCAGCCCTGCCGTCCCTCATCGCCCTTCCCAAGAGCTCTGTGTGGCCAAAATGCTCTTTGCCTGGCGACGGCAGCCCGGCACGGCGGCCTTGGGACCAAAGGCAGGGCAGCTCTGCCAAGCCTCGGCGGGAGGACAGCTCCCTGGGGAGGCTGAGACAGGCAGGAGCAAGGGCTCTGGGGGGCCCCTGCACCCCAGCAGGCAGCCAGGGACCCCCCC